TCCGCCCCGCACAGGCGAAGCAGCGCGCGCCCCCCGGCTCGGCCCGCGCGCGCCGGGTCACGGCCCCGCCCTTCCCCCACCCGGCCAGAGCCGCGCCGCGTGAGAAGCGGCCCGAGCGCCGCCGGCAGGGCCTGCGCCGCCTACCTGGCCCGGCCCACCCTGCCGCCCCGCGGCCGCCGCCCCGCGTCCACCGCAGGGCTCACCGGCTCTCGGCGGAACCGCGTCCACTGCCCGCACCGGCACCGGTTCCGTCTTCGTCTTGTTCAAACCAACCGACCCCGCCCGCCCGCCCGCGCGATGACCTCACACGCACGCCCCCCTGCTACGCGCCGACGTAGAGGCGCGTCATCGCCCGCTGACTCCTTTTATAGAGAGGGACTCGCGGAGCGTCGGAGGCGGAGCTCTGCCCTTGATCGACGGCTGGAGCACCTAGGGGCGGAGCACTGACCGACGGGGCGACAGGCACGTGGTCGGCCACAGCCAATGAGGTCCCGCATCCGGGTGGGTGTGTTTCCGCCCAGAAGGCGGGGACCAGTTAAAAAAAAAAAAAAAACCTCTAGGCAGTAGTTTAAAAAGAAAATTGGTAAACCGGGCTCGGTGGCTCAGCCTGTAATCCCGCGCCTTTGTGAGGCTGAGGTGAGTGGATTGCCTGAGCCCGCGGGTTCGAGACCCGCCTGGGCAGGCGAGACCTCATCTCTACAATAAAATCAAAAAATTAGCCGGGCGTGGTAGCGCGCACCTGTGGTTCCGGCTACTCGGAAGGCTGAGGCGGAAGGATCGCCGGAGCCCGCAGGTCGAGGCTGCGGTGGCCGGGAGCGGCCGCTGCCCTCCAGTCTGGGCGACGGAGTGAGACTCCAGCTCAAAAAAAAAAATTGGTTTCACAATGACTTTCTGTAAGAATGAATTATTGTGCGCGGTGGCTCACGCCTGTAGGCTTTGGGAAGCCGAGGTGAGAGAATCTCCTGAGCCCACGGGTTCGAGACCAGCTTGGGTAACTTGGCAAGCTCTCATCTCTACAATAATTCAAAAAATTTGCCGGCGTGGTAGCGCATGCCTGTAATTCCAGCTATTTGGAAGGCTTAGGCGGAAGGATCACCTGAGCCCAACAGATCGAGGCTGCGGTGGCCATGAGCATGCCACTGCACTCCAGCCTGGGCTACAGAGGGAGATTCCCAACACAGACACACACACACACACACACACACACACACACACACACACTGCTTTAAGATGTATATTAGCCGGGAGCAATGGCTCGCGCCTGTAATCCCAGCACTTTGGAAGAATGAGGCGAGAGGATTTCCTGAGTTCACAGGTTCGAGGGCAGCCTAGGAAACTTGACGAAACCTAGGCTCTACAATAAATTTAAAAAGAAATTAGCCAGGCATGGGTCCAGCTACTTGGAAGGCTGAAGTGGAAGGATCGTCTGAGTCCAGCAGGTCAAGGCTGCGGTGGCCGTGAGCCAGCCACTGCACTCCAGCCTGAGCCACAGAGTGAAACTCCAACACACACAGAAGCTACTTTAAGATAAGTTGTTGTAAGAAGTTGCTTTATTAGGCAGGGCTCTGTGGCTCAGCCTGTAATCCCAGTACTTTGGGAGGCCGAGGCGAGTGGACTACCTGAGCCTGCGGGCTCGAGACCCACCCGGGCAACTTGGCAAAACCTCATCTCTACAATACATCAAAAGAATTAGCCGGACATGGTAGCACGCGCCTGTGGTTCCAGCTACTTGGAAGGCTGAGGCGGAAGGATTGCCAGAACTGGGAACCTGCCACCGCACCGAGACTCCAAAGGGAAAAAAAAAAAGATGCATGTTAAAACTGGGTGTGGGGGCTGAGCCCTGATATCCTAGCACTTTGAGAAGTGGAGGCAAGAGGACTGTCCAACAAGCAGGCCAGGACACCCTAGGGCTCCTCTCCTGTAGGATAGTCTATCTCCTCCCTCGGGGATTCAAAGCTGGGGCTGTTTAGTCAGGTGCAGCACTGAAGAAAAGATGACTTAATTAGGCCGCCAAGGCCCCTGAGGTCTCACCCTCCAGAGATTTGCAGGCCCAGTTTGCTAATTTCCAGTTGTCTCACCACAGCAACCTGCATCTGGGCTGCCCTTAGCCCATCAGCACCTTCCTCATCATGTTCTCTAATCCTTCAGCTCCTGAAGCTTCTTCCTCCCCAATTAGCTCTGGACTAGACCTTTTAGAAACTTGGCTTTCTAAGGCAGTAAGTACTGAAGAGATAGCCGTGATTATAACCCATCACATACATGAAATGAAATGCTTAGCTGACCTGCATGTGTGTCCCGTTTCCACAGCTCAGGCCCTTTGTATGTACTAGCCAGTGCTCACCTCTGGAGAGGCATCAGCTTTCTTTCCCAAGGTTGGAGATGAGATATGACCTGAAGGGTTATGGGTTTAGGAATCCTGCCTGGGTAGCCCCAGGTAAACTAATTACATGGGAAACAGGTACACAGTAAACGCCCAATGAACGGTAGGATTTAGCGACCACACACCACCCAAAGGCTGAGGATGAGAGCCTGGAATCACAAGAGCCATTCCCAATTAGTCCCTGGCCTCACTGAAAGTGGCTGACATGGCAACTTGCGAGCTGTGGACTAAGGTGCAGAATAAGGAATGTGAGAAATCAGGTTATGGCTTTGATTAGCTCCTCAAAGCTATAAAGTATGGAAATCAGTGCCCCAGACATGGATTCTTTCATTTTTAGAGGGCCTCGCTGTGGCCCAGATTCGTGTGCAATGATCAGGGCTCACGCTGAACTCCTAGGCTCAATCCTACCCAAGCGCTGGGACTATCATCCAGCTTATTTCTCATTTTGTAGACTCCAGGTCCTGCTATGTTATTATGGTCCAAGTAACACTTGGCTGCTCTACCTCTATACCAGCAAATCAAGGGGCAGGGAACTAGTAGAAAGAGATTTCTGAATTCAAATGCAGGCTTCTAACCCTTTTTAAAATGGTTCTGCTCACATTTATTTTTTATTTATTTACTTTTTTGAGTTGGAGTCTCACTCTATGACCCAGACTGGAGTGTACCGGCACGCTCCCGGCCACTGCAGCCTCGACCTGCTGGGCTCCGGCGATCCTTCTGCCTCAGCCTTCCAAGTAGCTGGAACTACAGGCACACGCTACCATGCCCAGCTAATTTTTTGATTTATTGTAGAGATGAGGTCTCACCAAATTGCCCAGGCAGGTCTCGAACCTGCGGGCTCAGGCAGTCCACTCAGCTCAGTCTCCCAAAGCCTGGGATTACAGGCTGAGCCCAGCTAATAATGACATTTATAAGCCACATTCCCTGGCACCAGTTACCAGAGGTATCTCACAGTTTTCATCAGTAACACTGAGCAGAGGTGTTAATCAAGCTTGCTATGGCAAGGAAGGGAGATAACAAGGCCTAAGACCTCATACATGTTATACGCAACACGTTACACAAGACTTACAATTAACTTGATACTAGGAATTTATGTCTCTCAGTTATTGGGCAGTCAGCAAGTAAGTTAATTCTTTGAAGTCACTTTCTGGGGTGCATAGGAGATAAGTGGAAGCACACTTTGCTAACTCTCAGGAATGTGGGTACATGCAGGAGCACTCCAACCCTTGTCATGCCCTTCTCTAGGGGTTGTGGCAATATGGACAGACAATAGCAGGTCTCTGTATCAGTGTTGCCCATAATACCAGTCTCCTGCTGCCTGATTGGTATTGAGGGAGAGCAGTCAAGCATAACTTGGACCATAACACCCAGGCTGGTCTTGACTCAAGCAATCCTCCTGCCTAGGCCTCCCAAAGTTTGGGATTACAGGCATGAGCCACTGTGCCCAGCCACAGTGAATTCAAGCACCACAGCCACCATTGAGAACCAAGATTTTGATACCCATTCATTAGCCCAGTTCAGTCCCTTAACCAGCAACATAAAAAATTCCCAGGTTCACCCGGGCTCAGTGGCTCAGCCTGTAATCCCAGCGCTTTGGGAGGCTGAGGTGAGGGGATTGCCTGAGCTCGCGGGTTTGAGACCCACCTGGGCAACGTGGCAAGACATCATGTCTACAATAAATAAAAAAATTAGCCGAGTGTGGTGGTGTGCGCCTGTAGTTCCAGCTACTTGGAAGGCTGAGGCGGAAGGATCGCCGGAGCAGCAGGTCGAGGCTGCGGTGGCCAGGAGCGGCCACTGCACTCCAGTCTGGGTGACACAGAGTGAGATTCCAACTCAAAAAAACAACAAGCCGGGCTCGGTGGCTCAGCCTATAATCCCGTGCCTTTGAGAGGCTGAGGTGGATTGCCTGAGCCTGCGGGTTCGAGACCCACCTGGGCAGCCAGACCTCATCTCTACAATAAATAAAAAAATCAGCCAGGCATGGTAGCACATGCCTGTAAT